CTATACCTTGCCACATGGCTGGTGGCTTACCGGCGTCTTCACATGCTGCTTGTCCTGGCGGTGGCTGCAGTGTCTCTCCTTTCAGCCTAACGCTTCCCAGAATTCTCCTCTCTCCTTGTCCCACCTACTTCCTGCCTGGTCACTGGCCATCAGTGTTTTATTTATATAGAACAATATCCACAGCACAAGACAAACCAACAGAAGGAAAAGAGCCCTAGAGAAGAAGGCACAGGAATCAGAGATACACTCATTTGAACCCAGGAATCCCATAAAAGCATTATTTCCAATAAAGGGAAAAATGTATAGAAAGACATCATTCTTTGAAAGAGATCAGTGGATTAAGTTGTCAATTAGAAATCCCTATGTATATGTTGTGTTTTGACAGATACCTTAATATCATTGAAATGTGGATGTCAGATTTAAAAATGAATAGTAAACTTTAAAGACTCCCAGGAATTAACTTTGGAAATGTTGATATCAGCAATTACTTTTACTTTAATAATGAAGTTACTAAATCATATCATTTGTAAAACAATGACTGAGACATATGAATTGTTTATGAATTGACTTCCTCAAAGAACTTAAAGTTCATTACAAGAAGCCATTAAACACGTGGAATGGAACATAAGAGATGGGGGAAAGAATCCACACTACCTGTAATGGCTTACATATGAAATGTATAAAGAACCAAATTCAGGTTAGTAAGACAATCATCACTACAGTGTATAACCTATGCAACAGAAAGGGTCACTTTTGTATAAATAGCCTAGCTACAAGATGTAGTAGTTGGGAGGAAAATGGTCCCTAAAGGAAGTAACACTATTAGGAGCTGTGGCCTTGCTGGAAGAAGTGTGTCACTGTGAGGGTAGGCTCAAGCTTCCCTCAGTGTGACTCTCAGTTAATTTCCTGTTGCTTGCAAGATGTAGGACTCTTTTTTTTTTGGTTTTTTGAGACAGGGTTTCTCTGTGTAGCTTTGCGCCTTTCCTGGAACTCGCTTTGGAGACCAGGCTGGCCTCAAACTCACAGAGATCTGCCTGACTCTGCCTCCCAAGTGCTGGAATTAAAGGCGTGAGCCACCCTCTTAACACCAGCACCATGTCTGCCTGCATGCCACCATGCTCCCCACTACGATGATAACAGACTGAATCTCTGAAACTGTAAGCAAGCCCTCTCAATTAAATGTTTTCCTTATAAGAGTTGGCATAGTTATAGTGTCTTTTTACAGCAATAGAAACCCTAAGACACCTGACCATTCTTAAAGTTTGCTAAAATAATTTGTTCTATTCTAGCCTCAGATACTTGACTAGATAGAACAAGAAAGAAATTTTGATGACCAATAAAATCAGGAAGGTGTTCACATCTCTAGTTCTCAGTGAAAATACAAATCAAGACGGTATATAATAGCCACAGGGGCTGAAATGAAAAGAATTAAAGTCCAGAAATACAGTATAAAATCAGAACAAAATGAAACAACAACAACAAAAAGAACAGAGATAAAAGAATGCTTTGCAATGCTGACTTAAATAAAAGTTGGCAAAGAACATGCAAAATATCTGTTAGTATTTGTTAAAAATTGATGATAGTGTATTTTGACTACTGGTCAATGACTATTGGTCTCATTGTAAGGCATGTTGTGTTAAAAAGATATTTAATAATTATTAAAACACAATAAGGAAGAGTTTGTTCAGAATCACACACACACACACACACACACACACACACACACACAATGACAACAGCAATAGGATTTTGCAAAGACAGCAACTTGACTTCAGTAAATGTAAGTCTGTCCATAACAACAACAACAACAACAAACAGGAAGGGAGACAGTCCATGCTTACTTACTAAGAGAAAGGATCAGGAGTTAGAAGGATTCTAGTAAAACCAAACTCATATGACACTGAGAACAAGACAGAGTGACCAGATATTATTTAAGGGAATGATACAAGGAACTAGACCCGATAGTGAGAATAACCAAATACTGAGGGGCGGGGGTGGGTGGGTGGTGGTGCTATTAGATCAACTAAGAAATGTTCTTTGCTAAAACTTGATTTTCCAAGTGAGTACATGGATGGGATTATATATTTCAGATGCCTGTATAATATATGATAAAGTGAAGAATAATTGCCAGTTGCCGTGATAAATATGTTCAACTAAAACATGTACCAATGGCAATAGTAATATATGTATTGATCCCTCAAACTAAAATCCACAAAATTGTGATTTAATAATATTTTGGATAAGTTGAGTACAATGGAATGGAGTATTTTACTATAATTAAAATGAATGAATTCCCACTACCTAAAATAAAATGAATGGATTTTGTGTGAATAACATTCCATGGCTGTAGCTCAAATGCAGGATAGAAGAGACTACACAAACCATAGTAGAATATACTAGTATCTTAATAGAATATATAAATAAATCTTTATTTATTCTTCAGTGCTTTGCCTACCTGTATCTTTTGCCCTGTGTGTGAATCACATGTTCATTGCTTTTAGAACTGATTGAAAATCCACACTGATGCATAAAATCTTTTAAGATTAGTGCTTCATTCAGGTCACAGGTACTAGATGAAATAGCACTTGAATTTACAAATTTTGCTGCTCTGGTATATCATTCTATATTCTGTGAATGTGTGTTGCTCTGATTGGTTGATAAATAAAACACTGATTGGCCAGTAGCCAGGCAGGAAGTATAGGCAGGATAAGCAGGCAAAGAGAATTCTGGGAAGAGGAAGGTTGAGTCAGGAGTCACCAGCCAGACACAGAAAGCAAGATGTAAAGGCAGAACTGAAAAAAGGTACCAAGCCACATGGCTGAACATAAATAAGAATCATGGGTTAATTTAACTGTAAGAGCTAGTCAGTAATAAGTCTGAGATAACGGCCAAGCAGTTGTAATTAATATAAGCCTTGGTGTGTTCATTTGGGTCTGAGTGGCTGAGAGACCATGGGGCTCCAGGAGCTGGGTGGGACCAGGAAAACTTCAACTTCACTTTGCAGGTCTTAGGTGACATTTAGGAAAGTGGAACATCAATGATAAAATCTACTGTATCAGAAAATACAATATTAAATAGAAAACTCCTTAAAATACTCAAAAAATTCTATTATGTTTATCTTTATCATGATAAGCATTGCATAAAAATGGTTAGACAAGAAGTTATGACATATAAGTCTTATTATTTCTCCATGAAGCATTTAATGGCAACAATAACAGAAGATGTATTTATTATTGGAATATCCATGAATGATGAGCATATTCTAGCTATCATTAGAAACACTCTCAGATTCCAAACAAGAATCAATTGTATGTTTATATCCCTTGAATGCAGAGAAATTAAGTCCTATAGGAAGGATCCTGCAATTAGATCATATTTCTCAGCTTAATGCTTGCTTTCTACCTATGAGTTTTACATCCTTTACCTGGTGAAAGAAATATAATCTTACGAAGTCTGAGATCCATGCTTTTGCTCCTTAGTACTTAGTGTGGAGAATGCTTTGAAGAGCTGTGGTTAGTGACTCAATTTCTTTAAAGTCAAATAATACATGGTGTTGCATGAGATTTTGCCTTCACTAATTCTAGGATGAACATAAACCATTCCTAGTTAATTTTCAGGCTGCTCAGGTTGCAGTATATAGTTTGAATGGCTATAAAAGACGGATTCCCCGATGTATAGAGTAAAGAGGTAGAAAAGGGTGCACTAAAAATTATGTTTCCTATAGTTAAGGTGTAAATTAACAGTGTACTCTATTTCTAGGTAAAAAAAAAATGCTATTGGCTAAAAGGGGGAGTGTTAATGAGTCATATGGTAATGTGATTCTATTTCCTGATGTTTCTTGGAGGATAATGAAGGATCATGAAAAGTTCACAAGGCAATGATAGGTACTTGTAGTAGAATATTTTAAGGTGTGTTACTTTTGTTTATGTTGCATTTGTTAAACTCTGTGAAGTTGTGTTACTGTGCCTGTCTAAAACACCTGTTGGTCTAATAAAGAACTGGCCAATAACAAGGCAGGAGTAAGAATAGGTGGGGCTGGCAGACAGAGAGTATGTATAGAAGGAGAAAACTGGGAGGAGAGATCTAAGATCTAGCAGCTAGAGGAGGAGGACAATGCTAGGGGTCAGCCCACCCAGCTACACAGCAAGCTACAGAGTAAGATTTACTGAAGTCAGAGAAAAGGAAAAGACCAGAGGCAAAAGGTAGATGGGCTAAGTTAAGAAAAGTTGGCAAGGAACTAAGCTAAGCTAAGGCCAGGCATTCATAATTAAGAATAAGCCTCTGTGTGTGATTTATTTGGGAGCTGGGTGACAGTTCCCCCCCCCCCCCCCCCCCCCCCAAAAAACAAAAAAAAAAACCCCCCCCCCCCCAAAAAAAAGAGAAAACGATAGAACAGGCACTTATTGCAGGTGACACATATTTTAAGTGCAGAAATTTTAAAGTTCCTGGTATTTGTCTTAGACATAGCAATCTTGTCTATCTTCTTCAAACTGATTTAAAAAGTAAGGAAAGAGAAGCAATTTGTTTTATTCTAAAAATAAAATGTCTCACTTCACTCAACAGTCTCACAGACAGATTTAACCTACTTTGGCACTACAGTTTAGACTGCAGAAAATACAGTTGTCTGTTCTGTTAATAACTTTGGATTCAATTGATATGTTTTCTCTTGTAGGGTTAATTTTTAACATATGATTGTGATGCTGCCTCAAATGTATTTAGAGGGTAGAAGTAAAGCATAACCAGGTTCAAACTCCCAGTGTCCCACCACTCACATAATGATGCATAATTCTGTATACTCAGGTGGTAGATAGTCTGTGATAAAATCAACTTTAAAGATGCTGTATATAGCTTACAAGTATCCTTTATGACTTTCTGTACCCGCTAGAAGTAAAGATATCTAAAAAAATTGTTAAAATGCCATAGAGTTAGCTCAAACACAATTTCACACACACAAACACTCCACAATGTTATGTAAATATCCAGTAATGACAAAAACATGATTTGTGCCTTAAAAAGTAATTTATTGAAAAGAGGAGAAAGAAAATCTCAGTTACTGCACACAATTACTCCAAATGATAGCATTTACAGAAGAATCAATTAAATGACTTTTAAAACAAAATTTCCATTATAGAAACTTAGTTAAAGACTTTGATTCTCTCTGCTCGGGTGTTTTCCCTACTGGCATGATGCGACCAGAATTTAAACAGAATCTGTCTATGAAAGGTTAGCTTAAGGACGGGTGCTGTGCTATCTAATATGCAGTAGACAACTCAAGGTGAATGAGTGCCTTCTCTACAGCGTTTTCCTATTCTAGAATAGCAGGTAAGCCTTGGTAAGATGATGGTTCCATATGATGGATGGAGAGGAGAAGTGAAGAGGATAGAGTCTCCGGTCACATCTGTAAGTAGAGGTGGAAAGGCATGGTTAGCTATAGTATTGGATTTTGAAGGAAGAATTGTTATGATTTTATATACTTTGCTAGTCATTTTCTTTTTAACTCATAGGGTCATTTTATTTGTCTACTACTGATAAACTTTACTCCTGTTTTTTTATGTAAAGATAATTTTTTACTAAGCTGTAACTTTTTGTGTTATTATTACAAATGCCACCAGGTAAACACAAGAAAATGCTGTCACGTAAGATTATCATTTTCATTAATGTGATATTTTTGGCAGGGGAAATAAGGAACATCTTATACCACAAACAAACATAAACACTCACACGCACTTAGTGTAGCTGAGATGACTAAAACACCTGTTTAGTTTTACTGTGTGATTTGCTATCAATTCCTACTTTAGTATCAAAAAGCACAGAACCTTACTGTTTGGCTTTACATGTGTCAGAGGCACTATTCCATGAAGAAGGGGTAACATTCATACAGACACGCATAGGCTTTTCCATTATTATAACTTTTACTAGTGAAACATTATTTGCTATTAAATACATTTTAATACTTATGCTTTTTAAATATATAATTATGAAAACTCAAATTTCAAATGAAAGTAGGACTGAACACTAGACATATAGCCTATAAACTCACCAAGTGTTATAATTCTGGAGTTCCTGAGAGTTGACTTAAAGTCTCTGAAAGAACAAAAATCACTCGCATCAGTGGCTGAATTTATTCAGTAGTAAAATTTTAATGAGGTGATGATGACAGTCACTTATTAAAGTGCATGTTTTGATAATACTATGATTGACAAAGATTACCAAAATCAATTACCTTAAGGATAAGCAGAAAAAAGTGTTACCATAGTGTTTCAAATGAGGAAAAGGCCAGGAGTTGAATTCAGGGTGAATGTGTGTTTACATAGGTGCTCTTAATTCATATGTAGCATTTCCATATTGATCATATGTATACACAGATGGAAAGTGCTTAGAGATTAGTGAAAACTGAAGAAGGATAATGTTTACTGTGTGTTGGCAGTTTTTCTGCTTCCATCAATACAAAGGGTTGCACTTACTGAATGGAGAATTCTGCTCTGCATGCTTCTGAGGAGTGATTTTTAAGTCTTAGATACCAGAAAGTTATCTGACTGGTCATTTTTATTTTAAATATTTTCTTGCAGATGCTCTTTAAGCTTCCTTACTTCCTTTGGTAGAGCACCAGCATTCAGTAATTTTCATAAACTTACCACCATACTTTGGTTTCTTCGGCATTCTTGGGGACAATGGCCTTGAGGGTGTTAAGTACAGCTTCGGAAGTAAGGTGCTGCATGTCTTGTGGAAAATAAGCCCAAAGGGGATAGACATCATACTGTGGGAAGGCCTATAGGGAAAGACAAACAACAACAACAACAAAATGTGTGTGAGCGACTGCTGTTTGAGTCCATGAAGAGCTAGATAGCATTCTCACTTCTTAAAGTCACTGTTCAAAACTGAATCCCAAGGACCAACGTTGTCCATACAGAATTCAGTTACCGGAGCCCAGAAGAAAATAAGAACATGAATCTGTGGGGCCCTGGCAGTGAGACCAGGACTTCTCTAGGGTGTATAAACTGGCTTTCTGAAACTCATTCCCTCTGGTGGGATACCTTGATCAGCCTTGATGCAGTGGGGGAGGGGCTTGGTCCTGCCTCAACCTGATATGCCAGACTTTGTTGACTCCCCAAGGGAGGCTTTATACCCTCTGAGGGGAAGGGGGTTGAGATGGGGGTGATATGGGGAGAAGAGGGACAAGGGGTGGGAGAGGGAACTGTGGTTGGTATGTAAAATAAAAAAATAAAGAAAAAACTATGAATCTCATTAGTTCTTATTCAGAACTCGTTGATATTTTAACTACAAAAAAAAATTGTTTTGCTAATTTAAACCTTTTTAACTTTCTTAACTTTTTTAAAGACTCTGATGTCCAAAGAAGGGTCATTTATCCAGGGTCAATATAGCTGATCCCTGAATGTCTTATACGTAGAAAATAATTTTCTAAATGTTAGCTCAGAATCTCCCAAGAAACTGGTTTGGGGTACAAAAGAGTGTGTTCCTTTCCAAAATATTGGAACAGCTTCCTCTATTGATCTATCATAGAATTTCTGTTAGAAATTTAGGAATTTCTACGCTAATGCACACAAAGCTCCCTATATAAGTGGAATTTGTATTTTATGGGTTCAGGAGTAAAATTAAAAATGTCAATTTTTCCTGTGAACATTTACATAAACAATAAAACAAACTATATATGAAATTTTCTATTTTTCTTAGTAATACATATATATATATATATATATATATATATATAAAATTAAATTAAATAATAAAACTAACTGACCTGAACAAAGAGCTGGGCCAGTTCCTTGGTGGAGACAGAGAAAAAAAAAACAGTCTTTTTAAGTTACATATAGCTGGGGACCAATAGACACCAAATTATTGTACCGAACTTGTAGAGAAGAAAATCTATATGTACAATTTTCACACTGTCTTTTAAAAGAATTATATGAAAGGTGAAACCAATATATTTATTGTATTGTAATAAAAACAAATCATTGTCCTTAATTTGCCTTTACTTTGAGCAGTGAAAATGATTGGAGTATTCAAGAATGCAATCAACTTAAAGCACACTGTCAAATCATTAAGCAACTGATTGCTTCAATATTTAAAATCTTGGGAAACAATTTAACCATAATCATTTTCACAGAAAGAAAATTTCCTCACTTTTCTACACATTCTTTTTAATATTAGAATATTCTATGTAAGATGTACAAGTGGAACCATCCATCAGTGGCTACAGGGCTACAGTCTCCAACTTGAACATGACTTCTTTTAAAACATAAAGATATATATATATCAGATGTGCGCATAAATGAAGCTTTACCTGATCCATTGCACTCATAGGCTGTCTCTGGAAAGAAAAAAGGAAATAGGAATTACAATTTGGGATCTATTAACACTGTAAGGACAGAAGAAACAACCTGTTTGAAACTTTCCTTGTCAGTGATTTGGGAACTGACACTAATTTTGTCAACTGCTATTTGATTACCCAGTGACATCTTTTCCTCTAAGACACAGAGGCACCCCCAACAATTACTAATTCACTAAATTGTGAGTTCCTGTTAGAAATCTCCATGCCTGGTGTGCAATTGGTCTAGTGATCTGCCTGATTCATAATCGCTAGGCAACAGTTCTTCCATAGTAACTGATTTTTATCTCAAATCCCAGAGACACTGTGGGACCAGTGGTATACAGAATAGAGCAGACAGTGTCTACTGTTTATGACTGGATAAATTCACCTCATAGGTGACAAGAGAGAAAGTTGAAGGATATTGATCCAGTCCCCTTGGAATCCTCAGTCTATAATCTAGATGGTCTCTTTAAAGAACAGCAAGTCAGTCAGTAAATCAATTTCCAACATGTACCCATTAAGTGAACGTGACTAAAACTGATCTAGACATCCCCAAACCACATTGATTAAGTTTGACAATCCTAAATATACAGGTACAGTTACATGACAATAAAAGAGGCATTGACATGAATAAATGTAAGTGTAGAAAGTGCCCCTTTGTAATGTTTGTGATTATAGCTGTGCTGTCCACAGGAACTGAGATATGCACAAGGAGGCACAGGAGCAGATCCCACCCAAAGGATGGAGACTGACCATTCTTTTTCTTGTAGTTAACCAACACAAATTAGTTTAGAAATGGTAGAAAGAGAAAGAGGAAGAGAGAGAGGATTCTATACAAGAGTGAGAAGTTTTAAAGCAAAAATTTAACAACATATTATTATTTTATAATACAAAAAGAAATATTACCATTTGAACTTGGTTGTGGGCATTCATTCTGTAAGCCTGCTCCTGTATAGAAGGAAATGTGTTCTAGATTACTCAGACATCTGACTTCACACTACTGTGTTCACTACAATGAGTAGAGATTACATCACTATCCATGAAACTTACAGTATACAATATAGATATTACTCAAGGATTATTGAAAAAAATCTAAAGTTTCATATTTTGAGTGTATAAAAAACTTAGCTCAGGCTAAATTCTCTGGAGTTTAAGAACATAAATAGTAAATAAATTTTATTTCCTGTAATACATAAAAGCCTATAAATTATTTAAGACTATATTTTATTTTCATACCTATTTGTAATCATTATTAACATCTTTGCTAAATTTCAAGTAAAACATTACCATATTTGGGTAGTAAAACTGGCTCTGTCTTGGAAGATGTTTCTGTGTTTAGAAAAAAGTACAAGTTATAAAATTGTAACACAGAATATAAATATTAAAATATTTAAAATTGAATAAATTATCTCACCTGGGCAAAGACAGATTGCTAAAGAAGAAACATATTTTGTTTCTTTTAGTATACTGGTTTTTATTCATTAATGAATAGTCAACATTACTATGCACTTCTCTTGTTGAGAGACTGTAATTAGTGCTATGAGATATAATGAAAACCTTGGGCAAATCTAGGATGCCGCTAACATATGTAAAGTTTATTATATAAGCAGAAATACAGAGCTAAGACAATCGGCTAGTTTCTGAGAGGAGTAATGACATTTGTGCTGGTTAAGTAAAATATTTAAATTTTTGTAGATTTGTTCTAGACAGAATCAACTTGAAAACTAGAACAATAATATCACATAACACACAATGGAAATATTCAAATAATTTAAATTTTAGTAAATAATCTTACCTGGGCCAGGGAAGATTGCTAAGGAAGGAAAGTAATTCTCCTTTAGTATATTGACATAGAACTTGTATTGGCAGAGTATTTGAAAAATAGTAAGATAATTTAGATTTAGTAAAAAAAAAAAAAAATCCTACCTGGGCCAGGGAAGCTTGCTAAAGAAGAAAGATAATTCTCCTTTTAGTATATTGATTGACATAGTATTTAAGAAATAGCATGATAATTTAAATTTGGTAAAAAAAATCTTACCTGGGCCAGGGAAGCTTGCTATAGGAGAAAAATAATTCACTTTTTAGCATATTGATTGACATAGAATTTGCATGGGCATAGATAGTATTTAAGAAATATTAAAATAATTTAGATTTAGTAAAAAAAATCTTACCTGGGCCAGAAGAGCTTGCTATAGGAGAAAAATAATTCTCCTTTTAGCATATTGATTGACATAGAATTTGTATAAGCATAGTATATAAGAAATATTAAAATAATTTAGATTTAGTAAAAAAAAAAATCTTACCTGGGCCAGAGAAGCTTGCTATAGGAGAAAAATAATTCACTTTTTAGCATATTGATTGACATAGAATTTGCATGGGCATAGATAGTATTTAAGAAATATTAAAATAATTTAGATTTAGTAAAAAAAATCTTACCTGGGCCAGAAGAGCTTGCTATAGGAGAAAAATAATTCTCCTTTTAGCATACTGATTGACATAGAATTCGTATAAGCATAGTATATAAGAAATATTAAAATAATTTAGATTTAGTGAAAAATCTTACCTGGGCCAGGGAAGCTTGCTAAGGAAGAAAAGTAATTCTCCTTTAGTATATTGACATAGAATTTGTATGGGTATAGTATTTGAGAAATATTAAAATAATTTAGATTTAGTAAAAAATCTTACCTGGGCCAGGGAAGCTTGCTGTGGAAGAAAAATAATATTCCTTTTAGCATATTGAGATAGAATTTGCATGGGCATAGTATTTTGAGGATTATTAAAATAATTTAGATTTAATTAAAAATCTTACCTGGGCTAGAGAAGCTTGCTGAAGACAAAAAATAAGTCTTTTAGTATATTGATTGACATGAAATTTGTATTGTCATAGCATTTAAGAAATATTAAAATAATTTAGATTTAGTTAAAAAAAATCTCACCTGGGCCTGGATAGCTTGCTAGGAAAGAAAAACAATTCCCCTTTAGTATATTGATGGAAATAGAATTTATATTGGAGTAATATTTAACATTGACTCCACTAACATAAATTGTTCCCTAGTTAGCAATTAAGTATGTGATGTCTCCTTTAGCTCAACTTGAAGAAGTCCACATCCACTCTACAGTATGTAATAATATTCCCTCTTTCTCTCCCCCGTCTCTTAATGTCATGTTTACGTCAAAGAGTTGATAAACCTGATCTCTGCTCCAGAAAAGTAGAAGGTGTAAACATTGCATCTTGATATTCAGATCAATAATTGGATAATTATTATTCATTTCAAAGTTAGAATAAAGTTTACTTAGGAAGAACGATCGATGTGAGTAGAACTCATTTATATGATCTTCATAATTGAATAGGAATATTATAATGAATAAAACATTACCTGGCACAGTTGGTTGCATTTCATCTGTCTCTTAAGCTGTTCCTGTTTAAACTGAAAACATATTCTCAATTTCATGCACACAATTCAGTAGTTTTAGATAGTAAAACTTCAATGTCTTTTCTCTGGACTAAAGGATGAGGAATTACTAATTTTAATTTAGTACCCGTTCTAGCCCCAAATGAATTTAGCTGTTTTACAATCATTAAGAAATTATCTGTAAAAATTGCTTTCATTTAAATCATAATGCAGTTATCTCTAAGTGTGGGTATTAGGCAGCCACACTGATAGCATTCCTCAGTCTTCCAGAAGATGGAAGACTGTTTACTTTCTAACTGTAAAAATTAGATTTTACCAAGCAATTCGAGCTCATCATGAACCAAGTTAAAAATGTTTCTAATAATAGTTAAAGTTCATTGAGAGACTACCATGTGTTACCTTTAACACTATTATAATTTAATATTTATATTATCACAAGATACAGTGAATGCATCAGATTGACCGAAAGCACAGCTTCAATTGGAGCTTAAGTTTGACAAGTTAATGTGCCATGATTTAGTGTGTAATTCAGATTCAAAAATGATAAACCATGAAAACATCAAATAAAATATTTAGCTGAAATGAAAGAATCATAAACATAGGATAAATGTTGTTCATTTAAGTTTAGAAGTTGGCAAGTGGCCATTTAGATTTTGTGAGACTACATATTGTAAGTCAAGCTGCTATCCAAAAGGAGACACAGCATCATTATAAGGTTCTCACTGATGCCTGACTTTATGCTTTTGAAAGATTCACTGAAGTCTTACCAGGGTGCACTGGTTGAGTATGTCTTCTCTTGAAATGTGTTTAGCCTAAAAAAAAAATTAAAAAAAATAAAAAAATAAGAAGAAGAAAGAAAAGATAAGCAAGAAATAAACTACAGATGTCTAGGTATACTTTGTTTACCTAAGTTAACAATAGCACATGGTTAACTTAGGTTAAATTTAGCAAAAATACCTTACCTCACTGATATTGGGAATAGCATTCTCAGTTTCCTAACAGAATGAAGAAAACACAGGTGTGTAGTTAGGACATATTCTCATTTGAGGTATTCTAATCAGTAACATGCTGTATTAATAAATTACTGCACTGAACTCTTCTTAAGGCACAAACACCTGGATAATAAGATGGAACCAATAATTTAGATGGCACATTATATTTACACTGTTTTTCTTCTTACTATTTTTACTAAGACATTACTCAGAATGTTGTAGTAGATGGAAATAAACCATTCTAAAAATTAACACAACTACCCTCCTTGTCCTACATTTTATTTTAATAACTGGAAATTTCAGTTTTAAAGTCAAAGCCTTGGCCTCAGCATCTGATCTACTGTCCTTTCTTTAGATTTACAAGAGGTCAAGAATGAATACTAGTTATATTATCCCAGAACCAGGATGATCCAGATCCCAGTGACTTCTACACAGAACATAAAGCACACACATCGTTCACTTGGAAGGGATAATTTAATAAGTTCAAGTTCTGTAAAATATCTGAGGACGATGAAAAAGGAAACTAAATATAAAGATAAGCAAAATGACACCACACGTGGTCGGATAGGATTGTTTGCCCAGAAATAACTTTAAATTCATGTTTGACAAGTAGTTACTTTCTTCTTTTTTGGGGGGTGATAATTACGTACAAAAGCTGACAGAACGTCAGACACAGAGAATCTAAGGCACGGAGATCTTATGTTGTCGTTACATATCACACGACAGATTTTCACAAATGGCTCCTCATTAGCTGGAGCTGGGAGTGGGAATGAATATCCGTTACCTCGCTTGATGAACTGCTGCTGGAGTCTTCCTGCTAAAGGGAAGAAAAGGAATGTTGTGAACTCCTGCACGTTTAGAATTGGAAGAGAAGAATCCCATGGCATTGAAGGAGTCATTTTCATGTTGAAACAAACGATGTAAAAAGATTTGTGGCCACCATAGTACATTTTCTTAAGAATTTTACTTAAAAATCATGCGGGAAACCCAAATAACTGAGCAAGGAAGTGAAAGAAAACCTTAAATAGTATTTTTTTTTATCTATTAAAAGAAAGACACTACCATGAATGTAAAATTTATGAAAACTCTTGATAAAATATAAAGTTAAAGGAATAGCTATTGAGTATGGTTATCAAAGGACCTAGGGTCAGTGTTTATTCTCATATGCCTTGGGCCTAGTTTATGTGAATAAACGGAAAACATTAAGATAATAGTCTCACTATGTGAATAAATATCAAATCATATACCCTTTGAAATATTTACTCTTTCTTCTAATTTATACACACACACACACACACACACACACACACACATATATATATGTATGTATGTATGTATGTATGTATGTATATATGTAGTTTCATCTCCAGTATTACATTTTAAAAGATTGGTTTTAATATTCCACTGATTATTTGCTTCTGGAGATAGCTGATTGACTATATATGCAATAGGCCCATTGGACTTCTCTCCATGTTTTGGCGTTGGCAACACAACACATCCATCCTAGGTTGCTGGTATGTGGATCCCTTCCGTTTCAGCACTGTACACAGGAGCAGAAAAGGAAGTTCTTGGTTCCAAATGTCAAGCAAAGTGTTTTGCTGCAGTATCTGATTTTGATGCACACTTTGCTTTTTAGTTTTTGTTCTAATCAATAAGCAATCTTTTTTATTATGACTATTATTTAAATGGCTTAAAATTCTACTTCCAATTCTAACTGGAGCACAAAGTGTTCTTTATTTGTAAAATTGTACACAATTCTCTGAGAAGTCCAAGAAAGAAAATCCTTCTAAATTCACTTTCCCAGTGTGCTCAGAATAAAGTAGTTTTCTTAAAAGGGAGGAGACTGCACACAATATATGTGATGCATAGTTGCCTAGTTCCTTAGAATAACAGAGCCTCACCTGAGCACTTGCCATTGCTTGTTCCTAGACAAAAGAAACAAGAAGAATATTTATATTATTTTTCATGACAAACACTCAAATATAAAATTAATAACTAACAATTCAAATATATGCTAGAAAAAAATAGAAACGGAACAATATCTAAGAATCGAGGAAAACAATAAACCTTACAAAACTGAAGTATTTACTTTCCTACTCTGCATTTCCAAGATTAATTCAAATCTTTTGAGTTCTTCCACATTGGTAGTGACTGACAACATGTTAATGTATCTGAGAAAGTGCAACTTTTTGTTTTCTTTTAACTTGGCTTCTGGACATTGAGCAGAAGCACTGTATATAAGGTGTGCAATAGATAAAATTGTATCAGAGTAGAGTGGTTCAAGGGTGCATTGATATTTAAGAAACATATTTTTTTCTACTTAATATCTTGTGTGCATGTTGTAACATCACAGTAGTGGAAAGATATCACTCCCAGGTCTGAAGTTCAAAATACCAGTGTTGGTGTGTCATCTACTTAATTTCAGCAAACACATCAGAGTATCTTTTCTTTCTAGGAATTAGAGATATTTGTCATAGAATGATTGGAATTATTCTCTGATGTAGGTAAGATGATGCAAGGGAATGCTTGTTATGTGTTGTCCCCTCCCCATACATGGTGGAATATTTTTAAAGCGAAGGGCTTTACCTTGGTTGATTCATCCATAGTTAGCTGTAAGAAAAGATTTCAGTCATCAAATAGATTTTCAAAAGACACACATCACTGGTCTTACAAATTTTGAGAACTATATACTCTTCCAATATTTAATTTATGTAAAAAGTATTAAGCAATCAAGTTCAAAAGTTGTGATTGGTGAAAGAATACCGGTTTGATGTAAAATGTTCTTGGGTAATGCTTTTTTAATCATCCCTACCAATGCATTCCTTCAGCCTTCATAGTACATGTGAATTATGGACCAGATTGAAAATGCATTTATTTGTTTGGTCATTGAGTTACATGTATGTCTTATTCCATCATAGCTGTTCACATAAGTCCATAAAATTAGAAGCTCTCCAAATTATCAATAGAATCTACTAGTCATTTTGAATGTATGATTGAGAGGTTCAAGTAAAGGATAAATGACATAGACAGTCCAAATAAAATTGTTTGTTTGTGCTAGGTAGAGGGCCATATTTGTCACATTATTTTGTAGAAAACTTTCGTACCTTGATTTCATCACTCTGTTTTCCTGTCAGAATCTCTCTCTGCTGAAAAATTAAAAAGTAACTTGTGTAACACATATTTAAATCACAGACTTTAATAATAGTTTAAGTTTTATAGATGTTTCTTACTCTGTTCAGGCCATTGATGAATTTCTTATGGTTACAAAAGAAAGAAAAACAGTATTAGTGAAAAGGACATAACTAGTGAAAATCTGCAATCAAATGACATTATCACTTCCTGCTGCAAATTTTAAAAATAAATCTATTTTCCATTGATTCCCCAGTGTTTCTTGTCATATCAATTCTAAATGTAAGTGTTTCTTTGCTGTACTGTCTTTGTATACACTGCCAGTAAATATACTCTTAAAATATTTTCAAATTTGTTTTATGAGGTTTTTTGTCTTTGGTTAGTGATCAGTTCTGTGGTCTATTGATTTCAACACTTGAGTACCTACTTTAACTCTATGTCATATCCCATGGAGTCATTTTGACCTGCCCTAAGTGTGCTGCTAATTAGTCTTAAGACAAAGTTATGTTGTCTTTGCTCAGCTCATGTTTAGGCAGTCATGTTAGTGAGACTTTATGGGCGTGGCCTCTGACAATAAACATGCTAAAGTGGATAGTGGAAAGCCTAGGAGGCTTCAACCCTACACAAAGAACTACAGGTAACTAAAGAATCCTGAGAGTATGAGAAATAGTCTTCTCCAGGGAAAAGAGCACAACAATCCACTAACAAATAGTCAGCCCTGAAAACATACATTTTATATATATATATATATATATATATATATATATATATATATATATAGTTGTATTTATGTATTTAGAAATATATGTGTATAAGCATATGTGTGTGTGTGTGTGTGTGTGTGTGAGTGTGTGTGTGTGTACTAATTAAGGAAGAAAGAAGAAGAGCTGGGACAGCTATCTTGGAGGGTTTAAAGAGAGGAAAGAGAAGGGAAAATGGAATAATTATATTAAAATATCAAAAAAAATAGGGGAAAGAATTTTTAAAAACTTATGTTAAAACTCATTCAGACAATGTTGGCCTAGCCATCAAGTCTTCTAAATAAATCATGGTCTTCCATTAGACTTTGATATTCTTACATTCAACAAACAACATTTTAGAGAACTGTAGCACATTTGAGGCAACATCCATGCTCACAGAATACTCTACATTGTGAACATGGAATCTTGAGCTGCTAAATAGGTTATGGGGGGAAAAAGACAAGTGTTTTGGTCAGAGGCAAAATTTTAGATACAAATTAAAATTAAAATCTACCTTTTAATGAATGAAAAAGGGTATCGACTCAAGTGAAAATGCTTTTACAAGCAAACGATACTTTGTTTTATTCGTTTCCTGAGAACAAAGTATAGTGACACATGCATGGAAATGCCATAATAAAACTCACGACTTGTATGTTAAAGAATGAGTTTTCTTCTAAGAGTGCATTTGTGTGTTAAGAACTCATAACACTTACCTCATTAAACGTGAGATATTGTGGTTGTTTAACAAGTTCCTGTTGTTCCTGTTGGAATTACGTTTTGAATTACAAAATGATAAGCTGACCACTGAGTATACACAAGTGTTGAAACATATTATTTCATTTATATATGAAGGTAAATGTAAAAACACAAATATGAACTCTTTCCCCTCAGGAACCCAAGAGTTTGATTTAATTCAGTAAATTATTAGATTCTTGGGCAGAAGAAAAATCTATACTTTTAGTTTTATATTCTAAATCAAAAATCTGAAAGAGGCACTGTAACTGGTTCCCTTTTTGGCCAAGCCTAATAATCTGTTAGGCATGTTTTCCAAAATGTCCAACAAACACTTTACATAGAGAATGAATCAAATCAGAATTGGGAGGGCAGCCCAGGTATCTGAACACTTAGATACTTTTGAAGATATATAAAAATCAGTGTGTAGAAGGCATTCCACATTCATGATCACTAACTGAAGGTTGGAGAAGACCAGGAGAGCATGGATTCAGCTCCTTACACAGGCAGCTTACCTCACTGCTGTCCTGGAGTTGAGTCTGCAGAGAATAAATGATAGCATGGCATTAGTTTATATACTAGAAGGAGTGGAGAATTATTGCCTATTGTACTGAGTGCTGTAGAAGTAATGAATTCATGATTCAGAATACAGAATTAGAGCAAATTAAAAGTCACAAAAATTAAATGGAAAAGAAAAAAACAAGAATATGTTAAAATATTAACATATTCAGTTTTGTTAACTATTTCTTGTGAATAAGTACGTGAAATAATTCTCTCTCTCTCTCTCTCTCTCTCTCTCTCTCTCTCTCTCTCTCTCTCTGTCTCTTTCTCTCTCTGGTGTGTGTGTGTGTGTGTGTGTGTGTGTGTGTGTGTGTGTGTGTGTGTGTAAACGGAAGGTGCATGTACGGAGGCCAGAGGACAACCTTACAGGTCAAAAGTTGTTTTTTCCCTTCCCATTTGAGTTCTAGGGATTGACTTAAGACATCAGGCTTGCACAGCAGTCACATTGACTTGCTGAGCCATTGTGCTGGCCCCATGTGCTCTTTTATAAAAAGTTTGGTTGACTAACTAATCTTGTATCTGGTGGTACTTTGATGGAAGAAATATCACTCATAGGTAGATAAGGGGGTTATTCCCCAGGGAAAGAAAGATAGAGTTTGGGTCTTTTTGCTGTCTATGCATCATCAGTGGAGCCCCATGATGAGGGAAAGTTCTCAAAAGGCAGAGTACAGAACTTACTTGGACGTGTGCCACTTTTTTATGATGAAGTCTCTGAAAAGTGACAGAGGAATTAAATAACATAAATAAGACTAAAATCAATTCAAATAACAATAATATTGCACACATAATACCATTTACGTGAAGCTGTTATTTAAAAAAATCTTTAACAATAATGTTAAAAAATTGTCAGAAACTATTGCTCTGAGAATAGAATGAAATAATTATTTTATTGACAGTTATTAAAGAAAAATAGTTTATCTGTTGTCTTTCGATTATGGCAGAGACTTGAGAAAACCATGTAAAATGCCTGAAACATAAAGCCTTCAGCTAGTTTTAATTGGTTCAAAATGATAATTTAGTTCTATGGACAATTTATATTTCATGAGAATTTTAAAAATAATTTAAAAACATTATATTAACTAGGGGGCAAAGTGGGCAGTGTCCTAGCTAAATTTTTGTCACGATTGCATTTTATCATCAATTGTATTATATAATTATTTAAATCCACATTTTGACTGTGAAGATAACAATTACATTTAATTAAATGGTAACATACACAAACAGACACCACACTGTTTTCTGTGGCATATGAGTTTTCAGTTTCTTGGGAAATCATGCTGATACAAGAACCCTAAATGAGGATTTGACTATGTAGAATATTTTGGAGTATAGAGCTCTTTGTCACACTTGATAAGGAAATATCACATACCTGTGGTATACTTAGAAGGACATTAATCTATGGTGTACAGGGGAAATAAGCTCCTTTACAACCTGTTATGCTATTTATAGTGGTGTGCAATATTTTACTTTTTTTCCTACTTTTACTGGTGATTTTCATTGTGGGTTTATTTAATTTCTAATAGGACATTAATTTCTAATGGATTTGGGTGGATTACATAATGTGATCGAAATGTGAAGTTATAACCCCTCTCTCATTCTGACTACAGTTATTAATTAGAGATCATCAAAGGCTTAGGGTTATTACTGTAGGAATCTCAGGTGTGGACATCTGGAGGGTCATTTCTAACAAGACAGCAGAACCTATTACCCACTGTACTCACAGGCATGGCAAGGGCAGCAGCCACAAGGCAGGTGAGGATGAGGAGTTTCATGGTTGCCCAGGCCTGTTTAAGAAAAAGGGGTGAAAAAAAATGTTAGGTCTTGTCTTCATAAAGTTTTTCCTTGGCCTTTCGACAAAGGACTAATTATTATGACAAACATAAATTGGTTTGAGAAGTAGTAGTTTTTCCTTGGAGACCAGGCTGGCCTCGAACTCACAAAGATCCTCCTGCCTCTGCCTCCCGAGTGCTGGGATTAAAGGCGTGCGCCACCACCGCCAGGCTGAGAATTATATAAGAGAGTAGTAGTTTTAGAAGCATAAGATGTTTTGTCAGGCAATTAAAAAGTGTGTGCCGTTTTGTTATCTTAGGTCTTCTAATTTTAAAATTCCATTTCTTTATTCTTTCTCCCCAATACTTTCTCTCTGAGCCCATGTATTGCCACTGCAGGGATGTGTATAGGTCAGGGAACAACTTGTGAGGTAAAAGTCAAAGTCCGTTCTTTTTTTTCTACCGTGTGGAACCCTGGGATGGAACTCAAATGCCTTGCCCTGTAGCAAGTGCCTATACATGTCGAGCCACCTTTCCTTAGTTCTTATATTATACCAATTTCTCATCGTTTTTATTTACTGTCTAAAAATGATTTGACAATTAATATGATATCCTTTATAAGAAGGAAAGACCGTAAGTCTTCAAAAAACAGTTACAAAGAACAATTCCCCTTGAACAGCCACACTTGCAAATTGGGCAAAATAAAGAACTAAAACCCAAATGGAAATTTTCATGTCTTTTTTTTTCATATGAAATTCCTTGAAAAAGTAGCTTTCGTGTAAAATAATTTGAAAAAATTCTATCTTTAATTCTTTGTGAAAGTTCTCCTGGTTATTTCTAACTAAACTCTAGCAATTAATTTTAAAAGTATTGGTTCTCACATCATGACTTTCTTCCTCAAGCTATCCACATCACTGCATGGCAATGACTCAATTAGATGCATATAAGTTTCCTATGTCTTTATATGGTTCATTTCTAGAGGTCCAGGAAATTGCACTAAATTAGAGATAGTGGAATTTACTTAAATTGAGAAAATCAATTAAAACAAAACAAAACAAAAAAAAAAACCCCAAAGGGTGAAAAATAATAGCTGGTCAGTGCTGGTGCATACCTTTAATCCCAGTACTTGGAAGACAGAGGCAAGTGGATCTCTGAGTTTGAGGCCAGCCTGGTCTACAGAATAAATTTTAGGACAGCCAGGGCTGCCTAAAGAAACCCTGCTTTACAAAAAAACAAAACAAAATCACATTGTACTGTAATTCTTTTACATCTTAGTCAACAAACTAACACTGATATATCAAGAATCTAAAAATGCTCTAGGAAAAAAGATACCTTTAAATGCTATCTATTTTAGTATGAATCTATTTATGATTTTCCAAAGTTCTAAGTTTAAAAATATGCACAAAATAAGTTGCTTATAAATCCATATCATTAGTATATCCATGTTTATTAGCCAAATGGCACAGATAAACAATGATCCTGAGAGATCCTGTTAAATTGTTCTTTGCTATCATATTTATAGATATCAGAAAATACTTTGCATGGCAACTTTCACAGAATTGGACAAAAAAATTGAATTTTCTTTCCAAAGAGAATATTAAAATTATGTATCATTTTTAGTATACAATATTTTAGTTACAAAAAATATCAAAGATAAGTTGGTTTATACAAAACTATAGTAATCTCTCCTTAATTTCTGAGAAGATATCAAAATTTGCAAATGCAGTTTTAAGCACTTGGCATACTGTAACAATGTATCAATGTTTCATAAAGATATAGAAAATGTTGCAAATATATTTTAATTGATTAAAAGAGGTTAGCTTTATGGAATCATAGCATAATTTTTTTGGTATTAAACACAATACCTTGAACCCAAGAGTGGGAAGAAGCAAGCTGGGTGATGATCGAGATGATGGCCGATGAATTTTCTTCACAGCTATTTAAACTCAGTGATAAGTGAAATGCTAATTTTGCGGTTTTGTTTCAGACAAAGGATTTACATAAATTCTAAGTATTTTTTCAAATAGGAAATCCATTTCTGCCAAAATTCTTTTCTGGGAAATTCTGAGGCAAGTCTCCCACAAAGGACTGATTCATGTGGTGATGGCAAATTATACAGGAAATCAGATGTTATTATTCAACATTAAAACACAGATTGTGAAGATTCACGGTTATTGCTGGAACATGGCTTTGTGTTGATTGTACAGTTGAGAAGACTTGTCTATCTACAGAACTTTATTAAAGCTTTAGGAAAATCCATTCTCAATGAAATAATTGTCCATGAAAAAAATCCATGTCTCAATGAAACATCCTCAAAATGTTTTAAACTTTAGAATATCTAAGACCATATTTAAAATACTAGCATGCATCCTACCTTTTAAAATGTCATTTGTCCTCAGTTCTTTTTTGAGTAAATTAATTTGTGGCATTTTTTATATTGTATGTACTAGATATAATTTTTTTTTGGTGGTTGTTGAGCTTACTAGTCTTTTCTGTGCTTCCTTTTTAGCCATTTAGCCATTTGTCATTTCTTTTTAAATTAAGATTAGACATAAGAATTATAATTTAATTGTGTTTAAGTAAAAATAAATATAGAAGAGGAAAAATAAAATCCTCTTCCTCCAATCTCCAATTCTGTGTCTAAAGTTAACTTTAAGCATTAAGCAATTTTTAAATTTTTTATATCCTGAAAAAAATACTATCACATAGAGACTATTTAAAATAATTATTGTGATGGTTCCTTTTTATTTTATCTTATTGTTTTACAGAGTCATGGTACATGTTTTAAGTAAGTTTAAAACTAAGACAATAGTCACAGTTTATTTATAGATACATGACATGGGGCATTATTCCTGAGTTAAAAGACATTCTAGGGCCTCCACACTTAAGAACCAGAGGAGATTGTCGATTTGCATATCAAAGCTGTGTGATTAAGATGGTATCCTCCTCTGTCTTCCTGTTAGACCGCTCCACATCTATTTGAACAAATCGCTAATGTCTCCTCTTCACTTTGATTTATTCAGGGGCTTCAGGACTGCCGCCACCTGCTGCTGTTCTTTAACGTCTTCCCTTTTCTCTCCCAGATGTGTACCTGGAGTGGTCGATTTATTTTATTCCTAACTTAGAATCTCACTATATGAAATCCTTCTGAGTTCTCAGTTGTTTCATTATTATATTTCATTCATGAATTTATTCATAGAAGTGAAAAAGAAATGAACAAGTTACAGCTGTGAATAAAAGTTGTACCAGGTGGGGAACGTACAAGTAATCTCTATAGATCATAAGTAGTCCAGAAGGAGGAAGTAGCCCAGGGCTTCTGAGTTCCAGCAGCACCTGAGAATCGGTGAGGCTTCTAGAGAAGAGTCTTCTTTTTTTTTAAAAAAAAAAAATTTTTATTTTTATTTTACAACACCATTCAGTTCCACATAATAGCCACAGATTCCCCTGTTCTCCCCTTCTCGCCCTCCTCCCCCTCCCCCCAGCCCACCCCCCATTTCCACCTCCTCCAGATCAAGGCCTCCCACGAGGACCGGGATCGACCTGGTAGACTCAGTCCAGGCAGGTCCAGTCCCCTCCTCCCAGACCGAGCCAAGCGTCCCTGCATTAAGTCCCAAATGAATTCAATTGTAATGGGTCATCAAAAACCCTCCCTGTTAAGGAAGTGAGTCTCAACCGATTTGGTAAACCTCTAGCTCCCAAAGTATTTACATTACAATTCATAATAGTAGCAAAATTACAGTTATGAAGTAGCAAGGAAAATAATTTTATGATTTGGGGTCACCACAACATGAGGAACTGTATTAAAGCATCACGGCATTAAGAAGGTTGAGAACCGCTGAATTAAGGCTACCCAGTGCTTAGCAAATGTCTTTAACTTCTCTTATGAGGGTTCATGAACTCCAATTCCATTTTTTCTATTTATAACTCCCAGAGACAAGAGTTAATTCTACTTTATGTTTGGTATTGCAGAAGTTTAATTAGAGCTGCCTTTTAATATAAAGCCACTGTTTGTGATAATATGCCAAAATGGTTTGGTTGTTCCTTGTTAAATTTGTATAAGTTTGCAAGATTTTGATTGAAATTTGTCTCGATTGTTTTCTGTTTTCTTTATACTCATTAAATTGTTCAAATCTATCTATCAACAAAGTTCAAATTTGAAGCACATATTTAAGCCATTTGTGATCTGATTCACTTTTTTATTTTTTTCAGAATTTTGTTATTGCATACAATGTATTTAATCAAGTCCACCCTGATAGTTTTTCCCCTCCAACTCCTCCCTCATCCCCTCCAAATACTATTCTTGCTCAATTGCAAGTATCCTAAAACAAAACAAAATAACAACAAAAAACAACAATGAGTCAACACAAGAAGGTGCTGTCTATGTGTGCATGTACTATTCAGAAGAATCACACTTTTGATTCTCTGAGTGTGATTCAGAGAAAATGCATGCTGGTTAATGGAAAACATCCAAAAATGTAAAATGAACTTATATTAGCAATAAAAAAGGAGCAAATCAAACCAAAAAATAAAATTGTTATTGTGTTGCTAAATACAAATGTTTGAATCCTTTTGCAGAATCCATGGACTTTTAGATATGCAATGACCTAAGCCCTATATTATATGGCCATGATCTTCACTCTATTTTCCTTTCAATTACCATAACATTATCAACAACTAAAATGTTCTTTTGATTAATCAAACTTTATTAGTTTCTGATATGAAAGTACTAAAGATTCTAAAAGTAAATATTTAAGCAGAGAAGGAGTTTTAGGTTTAGTGAATTTTAAATATGCATTGTGTATTTATAATGACTCTAAGAGGCTGGAAAATGAAATCATTCTTATAGGAGACATCAGAATTTGATGGCATCCTTGTATGTGAAGAAAGACAGCTCCAATTCAGGACAGTTTGGAAAACAGGATAGACTATATCCGTGACCAGGATCCCAACAGAGACAAAGAAGGGTTGTAGAAAAAAGCGGTAAGACTGAGAAGGCTGCTAAGTAGCAGAAGACACGACTTTTAAGGCTTCTGTCACTTTCCGTAAGATTGATAAAGTATATAGTCAGCTGGTGCAGCAGAAGCAGAAGGATAATTACTTCCCACAGTGGAAGTGACAGTGGAAACAGGTCACTTGCCTCCATCTGAGTGGGGTTATAATGTGGAAAGAACTTAATCTGAAAAGAATAGTACAACAGTGTTTAAATGTCAATCTTTCTTAGACAGAAAAGTGATGAATGAAAGTTCTCAGAATTCTCAAAAATTATGAGTACAGTAAAGGGAGCTTCAAACAGACCGTGGAAGTGGAAAGTTCAGAACAGGAAAAACACCCCAGAAGTAAAACAGGGAAGAAAACAGCAGGGCAGAGTATTTTTAATATCAGTTATGATTAAAAGTTACAGAATGAAAGATCTAGTATAGTCAAAAGATTTTACAGAGTCATATGCAAAGTCAAGAAAAGATAATAAATAGAAGTCACTTCAGCATTTAATCTCCTAGTGGATATGAACAGCATAAGATGGGATGAGAAGGCTTGGGATTTGAAATAACCTCTCTTTTAGAAAAACATGGAAGCACTGAAAATATGATAGAGGCTTAGAAATGAAGGAAACACTACAGCTAGGTGTGTGGGAGCACAAAGATAAAGCTCTAAAAATATTTAGATTAATGAAATAAGCCCACAGAATGATAAATATATAATATTATAAAAAGCAGATCAATCGTTGCAGAATATGAGAATTTACAGGGGAGCAGAAAAGGAAGAGTCACTTCCCAGTATGAAAAGATTGTGAAAGGTGTCATGAAAAATGAGTAGAAGGATGTGAGCTAAGAAAAGAGAGAAAAGGGGCAGTTTTGCCATGAAGTCGGGGAGTTGGGTTCATAGCAAAGGTTTGAAACAACTGCTCCATGGTGCCAAGAAAGAGAACAATGAGTTGTGAAGTTGAAAAGGAAGGCAGAAGAGCAGAACAGGGAAGAAGGTGGGGTGTATGGAAATTCTCCTTCTTTGGGAGGGAGGAGGAAGCCTGAAAGGTTTGCACTCTTCTGTGGGCCTCCAGGCTTTACCTTTCCTGACCTTAGACCTCAGCTCCTGTTTGAAACCTTTATGATCACTTTTTTTTTTTTTTCTGCCTAAGTACCCTTGGGCCTTTCTCTTCCTGTGCCTAGATCTCTAAGAAGGATACTGACTGAGGACCTTTCCTTGTTTCACTGATTCGTTTGTCATGATTTTGGCCTCATTTCGCCTGTTTCCAAGCATTCGGCAGAGCAGACAAAGGCTCATTCTCCATGGCTAATGCACCTCGTCAGGAGTTTTAAGCACTGAGGTTTATTGAGTTTTTCTAACGAGTAAGTCAAGCACTGAGACATGATGCCATCACATTAAGGCTTTCTTCATTACAATGGTTTATCATAACAACACAAAGAAGGAAATATTATATATATTTTCAGAAATAAAAGTAACAAAATTTACAGTAGTTCTGGGATCAAGCTCCTTTATTGCAATACTTCTCTTAAGTACTGAGTTATTTTCTAATTATATCCCCAAGTCTTTCCGTGCCCTTAGACAAAGATTTGTACTAAAGAAGAGTTTGCTTCATAATATTTTTGTGTGTTATATTTTAACGTTTAATAATCGAAGAGATAAAATGCTGGTAAGTTTTGAAAATCTCTGTTGTTTAAAATATAAATTGAAGTATACGGTTTGTGTTACATGCTTTTACTTATTGTAGAACCATTATAAACATGAGGTTAGTTGTTATTTAAATATGTAAAATGTTTTAGAATACATGAGTTAAAATAAAAACAGACATTACCATCTATAGACAAATAATCATTGATAAATTATGTAGTATAATTTTTAATTTTAAGGCTTATACATGTGTTTGTATAGTGTATATAACATGATTCAGAAAACCATTTATTTAT